ATGCCCCGCCACCACCATCACCACCAATACATGCAGCCCCGGTGCAGTCCCGTCACACGGGCAGGAAAAAGTCCCGTGTGACAGCGGCGGAGCCCTCTCCCTCCGAGATCGCGGACGTGCCCGGGAGGATTTTGACATGCCTGGAGGCCGCCAAATTGACCGGCGCGCGCAGCCGGTACGCGCGCCGGCGAAGCCAGCGCCGTGCCGCCGCCACGAGGCCCTGGAAGGCCCGGCAGTCCACCAAATATGAAAAGGACCAATGCCCTGCCATGCCGGAACTGCCGACCAATGCCAAAGCGCGTAGCCCTCTCAGCTGGGCAGACCCACCAATCCCCGAGGCCCTGGAGGCCTGTGACGAAAACAACGAGGACCAGAAACGCCGAAGAGATCGTCACTTCGAGCCAGGCCATTAGCGAGATAGCGTGTTGCGATTGTTTGCGAGATTAGTGGGTTTTATTTTTTAAATTACGAGTGATAGTGAGATTGCATTATATTCTCTTTTTGGATTATCAGTGTTGCTGATCTTTGAGTGAGTACAGTGTGCTTGAGTTCTCCCTATCTGCCATCCCTTCCCTATCACCCTCTTAGAATTTGCGTAGTAGATTTTGTAAGTCTTCGAGCGATTCTTTTTGTATTTGCGACGGACCTTCCGCCCTCAACTCGAGGCCCGTGGTATATTGCGTGCGCCCTAACTTTAGTATCTTGCGCCCTTTCCCCGACAAGCCTCCGCCCTTCCTTCTCCCCCACCCCCTTTTCCCTTTTTGCGTTCTGATACCGAGGTAATTTAGAAAGTAGCCATTTTGCGATCGGGAACCTTCCTCCCTGAGACCCCCTCACCTCTCCCGCCGCTAGCCGTGCCAAATCCCGTCGAGTAAACAAACGAGGACCTCTCGGAGTCACTCGTCGGTGCTACACCGTTATAGTAGCTGGCGCCCAAATATTATCCAAGTACCATTCCTCAGCTGACAGCCCCCCCCTGTCCCCCTTGTCGACACCGCGTGCTCCCGAGCGAGTACACGCGTGCCTATTTTGATTTCTTCTAGCCTAAGTATTGTATTGCGGATTATATTTTCTTCTCTATTTGTTATATTGTAGCAACCTCTACTTATCTCGATTAATTATATTCTTTTCTATTCTACCCCGTGTCCCCCTTTCTTTTGCGTCCCCCCTCACACCGTAGTTTTGAGATAGCTGTATTTGCGAGACCCTGGGCCATTTTCGTGGCCCAGCACGTCACAACTCATTTCTGTCTGGTTGTGGTAAATTCTGCCCGAAAACACATTAACTTTCCAAAGAGGCTACGGATCGCAATGATATTTGTTGTGTGTCTTCTGTGTGTAAAATGTTGTTTTGGAATTGTAATTGACACCAAAACACCAATCCCTTCTAGCATTTTACCTGAAATGTGAAAAATAAAAAAAAATTTCTATCGATAGTCTGATTAAAAAATTACTATTCTCTGGTCTGCAGTGTACAGACCTTTTTTTTGACCAGTTTTATGAGAGCCAATAGAAAAGTCTACTCAGTATATGTCAATATCTAGACGTAGATACAATAGATACAACTCGATAAAAAACTGACTAAACTAAAAGAATTCTCTATTTCAACTCTACATAACTCAATTCTTAACATCAAGTAATTTCACAACCGTAACGTGATACCAGTAATAATCGTGATGAGAAAGTCACGTGTGGCGATCACGCGAGTAGCACCTTTCTTCTATTAAAGAAATTCACAGCACTCCTGTACTTGGCGTAGTTTTTTACACATAAGTGTTTTTTGGGGGGATATCACAAGTTTTTGATGCTCAACAGGATATAGAAGCTCTAAGCACTGAAATCTATATTTTTACAGATATAAAATGTAAATGCATTTTGATGTCGCTAATCAGTAGATGTAGTGCGAGTAGATGGACGTGCGAAGACGAGGACGACGACGACGACGACGACGACGACATGACGACAGACATGAAATAAAATCATCTCGATCGCCATATGAATACGCCCTGATCTCGTACACTAATCGTATTGAACTTAGTGGCAATTGATTCAAAACCCTCGACTCCTATAGTGAATGTATCAATAACTTCTTCTCATACACAGCCGTTCATAAGATTTTTGAGTTGAAACACAGGTACATACAAGAAATGCTTCGAGCAAAGAGTCTCGACGGACCGTCCCCTGTACGTCAGGTTGCCTGTACTTGGCGCAAGACTCAACCGAGTCTCTTGATATATTTAAGGCAACTGAATCCAAATCTGAGGTCAATATTTCTGAATTCAAGATTGCGGATCCAATATGGCAGATGAAAATCCGAGAAATAGTACCGAAAAATCTTAAAT